TAAACAAAAATGGCAATAAATAAGTACATATCAATAATCACCTTAAATGTAAATGAATTGAATGCTCCCATAAAGAGACACAGAGTAGCTGATTGGATAAGAAAGCATGACTCATCTATATGTTGTTTACAAGAGACCCACCTCTCAACAAAAGACTCACATAGGTTGAAAGTGAAGGGATGGAAAAAAATTTTCCAAGCAAATGGAAAGCAAAAAAAAGCTGGGGTAGCAATTCTCATATATGGTGAAATAGATTTCAAAATGAAGACTATAACTAGAGACAAAGTCGGCCACTACATAATATTGAAAGGATCTATCCAATAGGAAGATATAACCTTGATAAACATATATGCACCCAATATAGGAGCACCAAAATATATTAAAAATCTTCTGGAGGACTTCCAAGGAGAAATCGACAACAATACAATCATAGCAGGGGACTTCAACACTCCGTTGACAGCACTGGATAGATCCTCTAGGCAAAAAATTAGCAAGGAAACAGTGACTCTAAATGAAGCACTAGACCAAATGGATTTAATAGATATCTACAGAAAATTACACCCCAAAACTACAGAATACACATTCTTCTCAAGTCTACATGGGACATTCTCAAAGATAGACCACATGCTAGGACACAAACTAAATCTCTACAAGTTCAAGAAGATTGAAATCATATCAAGCATCTTTTCAGATCACAATGGCATGAAACTAGAAATCAATTGCAACAAGAACATGCAAAGACATTTCAACACATGGAGGCTAAATAGCATGTTATTAAACAATGAATGGGTCACCGAGGACATCAAGGAAGAAATTAAAAACTTCCTGGAAACCAATGAAAATGAAGACACAACAACACAAAATCTATGGGATGCAGCGAAAGCAGTTCTGAGAGGGAAGTTCATAGCACTACAGGCCTACCTCAAAAAACAAGAAAAATTTCTAATTGACTGTCTAACCTCACAACTGAAAGAATTAGAAAGCAAACAAAAAGAAAACCCCAGAGCAAGTAGAAGGAAGGAAATAGTAAAGATCAGAGCAGAAATAAATGACATAGAGACCAAAAACAATTCAAAGGATCAATGAAACAAAGAAAAGATAAACAAGGTTTTTCGAAAAGATAAACAAGATTGATGGACCCTTAGCTAGACTCACCAAGAAACAAAGACAGAGAACCCAAATACACAAAATCAGAAATGAAAGAGGAGAAGTAACAACCAACACCACGGAAATACAAAAGATCGTTAACAACTACTATGAACAACTATATGGCAACAAATTTGACAATCTAAGCGAAATGGACAAATTTCTAGAAACACACAGTCTCCCAAAACTATTCCCGGAAGAGATAGAAAACTTGAACAGACCAATAACAACTAAGGAAATTGAAGAGGTAATCAAGACTCTCCCAGCAAACAAAAGCCCAGGCCCAGATGGTTTCACGGGGGTGTTTTACCGAACATTCAAAAAAGAACTAACACCCATTCTCCTCAAACTATTTCAAAAAATTCAAGAAGAAGTAAGACTTCCAAACACGTTCTATCAGGCCAGCATAATTCTAATTCCAAAACCAGAAAAGGACACTACGAAGAAAGAAAACTACAGGCCAATATCCCTGATGAACATAGACGCCAAAATCCTGAACAAAATATTAGCAAATCGGATCCAGAAATACATCAAAAAAATTATTCACCGTGACCAAGTGGGATTCATTCCAGGGATGCAAGGCTGGTACAATATTCGCAAATCAATAAACGTGATACACCACATAAATAAAATGAAGAATAAAAACCACATGATCATATCAATAGATGCTGAAAAGGCATTCGACAAAATCCAGCATCCATTTCTGATAAAAACGCTCAGCAATGTAGAAATAGAGGGATTGTATCTCGACATAATAAAGGCCATATATAAAAGACCTACAGCCAACATCATACTCAATGGACAGAAACTAAAAACATTTCCATTTAGAACAGGAACAAGAAAGGGATGTCCACTTTTGCCACTCTTATTTAACATTGTACTGGAAGTCTTAGCCACAGCAATCAGACATGAAGAAAAAATAAAAGGGATCCAAATTGGAAAGGAGGAAGTGAAACTGTCATTATTTGCAGATGACATGATATTGTACATAGAAAACCCTAAAGACTCCATCAAAAATCTACTAGACTTAATAAATGAATTTGGCAAAGTAGCAGGATACAAAATTAACGTCAAGAAATCGACGGCATTCTTGTACACCAATGATGAACTCAGAGAAAGAGAAACTGAAAAAACAATCCCATTTACCATCACGCCAAAAAAATTACGATACCTAGGAATAAACTTAACCAAAGAAGTAAAGGACCTATTTGCAGAAAACTACAGGTCTTTGAAAAAAGAAATAGAGGAAGATATAAAAAAGTGGAAGCACATACCCTGTTCATGGATTGGAAGAATTAACATCATTAAAATGTCCATACTACCCAAAGCAATCTATAGATTCAATGCAATCCCCATCAAAATACCAACGACGTATTTCATAGAACTAGAACAAATACTTCAAAAGTTCATATGGAACCAAAAAAGACCCCGAATAGCCACAGCAATCTTGAAAAAGAAGAACAAAGTAGGTGGGATCACAATACCAGATATCAGGTTATACTACAAAGTGACTGTAACCAAAACAGCCTGGTACTGGCACAAGAACAGGCATATAGACCAGTGGAACAGAACTGAAAACCCAGAAATGGACCCAAGGCAATACGCTCAATTAATATTTGACAAAGGTGGCAAGAGTATACAGTGGAGTAAAGACAGCCTCTTTAATAAATGGTGTTGGGAAAATTGGACAGCTACATGCAAAAAAATGAAACTAGACCATCAACTTACACCATACACAAAAATAAACTCAAAATGGATAAAAGACTTAAATGTGACCCGTGAATCCATAAAAATTCTAGAAGAAAATGTAGGCAACAAAATTTCAGACATCATACGCAGCAGCAGAATTTTCACTGATACATCACCTAAGGCAACAGAAACAAAGGAGAAAATGAACACATGGGACTACATCAAACTGAAAAGCTTCTGCACAGCAAAAGAAACAATCATCAAAATGGAAAGGCAACCCACTGTATGGGAGAACATCATTGCCAATGATGTATCAGATAAGGGGTTAATTTCCAATATATATAGAGTGCTCATACAAATCAACAAAAGGAAGACAAAGAACCCAATTAAAAAATGGGCAGAGGAGCTGAATAGACACCTCTCCAAACAGGACATACAAATGGCCAAGAGACATATGAAGAAATGCTCAACATCACTAATCATCAGAGAGATGCAAATTAAAACAACAATGAGGTATCACCTCACACCTGTCAGAATGGCCGCCATCAACAAATCATCAAACAACAAGTGTTGGCGAGGATGTGGAGAAAAGGGGACTCTAATACACTGCTGGTGGGAATGCAGACTGGTGCAGCCGCTATGGAAAACAATATGGTGCTACCTCAAAAAATTAAAAATTGAACTTCCATTTGACCCAGTGATCCCACTGCTGGGAATATACCCTAAGAAGCCTGAAACACCAATCAGGAAGAATATATGTACCCCCATGTTCACAGCAGCACTATTTACAATAGCTAAGATCTGGAAATATCCCAAGTGTCCACCAGTAGACGAATGGATCAAAAAGCTGTGGTACATATACACAATGGAGTACTATGCAGCGGTAAGAAAGAAAGATCTCTTATCCTTAGAGACGACATGGAGGGACCTGGAAAGTATTATCCTAAGTGAAAGAAGCCAAGCAGAAAAAGACAAATACCACATGATCTCACTTATATACGGAATATAATGAACATAACAGTCTGAGGAATACAGTAGACCCAGACACATGGAAGTAGGGCACAGACTGACATCCCTCAGAAGAGGGGATGGGGGGTGGGGGTGTGGGACGAGATAAACCACAGAACTTATATGCATGTATGCATGACCAATGGACATGGACAACTAAGCCGGGGACGGGGCGGAGATGGGGTCGGGTGGGGGGTGCCAATGGGGTAAAAAGGTAAAATATCTGTAACAAAAAAATAAATAAAAATTCATTAAAAAAAGAAAAGAATGGAAGATAAACTTGTCATTCAGATCACGTATGGATTCTTACATTTTATTTGTATATCAAACAGAGAGACTGAGGTTTTGGGTTCAGTTCTGTTTAACCAACACTGATATCATACTGTGTGCTTGCGTATCTTATTGGCAGTTTAAGTTTTAAATTATTTATTTATTTATTTATTTATTTATTTATTTATTTATTTTTGTATTTATTTATTTGTTTGTTAGAGAGAGAGATCGATTTGTTGTTCCACTTATTTATGCATTCATTGTTTGATGCTTGTATGTGCCCTGACCAGGGATTGAAACCAAAACCTTGGCCTATTGGAACAACGCTCTAATCAACTGAACTACCTGGCCAGGGATTATTGGTAGTTTAAAACATGGAGTTACCATTAAAATTTGCTTTGGGTTTTATAAATGTAAAAACAAAATCAATAGTTATATATGTAGTTTTCTATGTGTAATATTTTAGCTGAATAACTCTGAAGAAATTGGAAAAATGTTTCATAACTTTATTTCACCTGAGATTGCTCAGATTCTACTAGAATTTTGAAAATTAAATAGCTTGGGAGAGAGTCAAGTAATGCATCCATAAAATTTCCACATGGCTAATAATTTCAAATTTTGAAGTCAGAAAAAAATACATTTGATTCCCGGCTCTGTCATATTCTAGCTGCAGGAGCTTACATTTCTCTAGTAAAATGGAGACAGTAAATCATTTCACAAAAGGTTTTCTGACTGTAATAGATCAGAATATTTTATGAAAATTACCTAACATAATTCCTGGTCCAAAATGTTTCATTATGAATATTAGTTTGCTTTTTCCCTCAATTCAAAGAAAAACCGAAAGCATGCATTTGAATTTCCAGAATTAGTCGTTTTCCTCACCATTTCACAGATCCACAGCTGACGTAGCCACTATTTCATTTTCATTCACAGCCACTAGCCTCCTACGTGTGCAGAAAATTGCCTTGGAATGTTGCACAGCCCTTTGCTATTTTACAAATCGCTTCAGTTTACCTAGAGGATAAAAACAACTTTAAGCAAGCAAACAAAAAATATAAAATCACATCTCCAAGAACTAGGAGACCCAACTAAGTCTCTCAATATAATGCATGGAGAAGTCATTAGAGCTCACTACAGGATGAAAATTGCAAGAAAGAAATTCATATGTGCTTTTGTTTTATTTTGTTCTTTAAAACAGAGTAAGAAGAGATGTGTATTTCAAGAAATCCCTCAAAGTTTTAAGGCATCTTTCCGCATTTTTATTATATTTTTGTTATAGGTAAGGTCCTATTTTTTTCTTTTCTTTCTTCTTACCATGCATGATGGAGCATGGGCAGAGTTGAGCAGACCTACTTCAAACCCTGTCTGGCTAATTACTATCTTACCTTTGGAGAATGATCTCATCTCTCAGAGGTGCCATTTCTTCACATGTAAATAGAATATAATACTTTATAGCATAATTGTGAGGATTAAATGAAGTAAAATATAAAAATTTTTCACATGGTATCTGGTATAGAGAAATGCTCAATAAATACCAGTGATGATTCATAGCTCTTATTATCAGGCAGGGGAAACACATATAGAAATACCTCAGGCCTGCCCTGCCAGTATGGCTCAGTGGTTGAGCATCAACCCATGTGCCAAGAGGTTGCTGGTTCAATTCCTGGCCCGGCACATGCCTGGGTTGTGGGCCCAATCCCCAGTGAGGGGCATGCAGGCGGCAACCAATTGATGTTCCCCCTCATCAATATTTCTATCTCTCTCTCCCTACTCCCTTCCTTTCTCTTTAAAAATCAATAAAAGGAATTTTTTTTTTTTTTTTAAAGAAAGAAAGAAATACCTCAGGCCCTGGCTGGCTTGGTTCAGTGGCTAGAGTGTCAACCTGTGGACCAAAGAGTCGCAGGTTCGATTCTGGTCAAGAGCAGGTACCTTGGCCCTGGCCAGTTTGGCTCAGCGGTTAGAGCGTCGGCCTGCGGTCCGGAGAGACCCGGGTTCAGTTCCCGCAAAGGGCACGTACTTCGGTTGCAGTTTGTCCCCGGCCCTGGTTGGTCGTGCGGGTGGCAGCCACTCGATGTGTCCCTTCACGTCGATGTTTCTCTCTCTCTCTCTCCCTTCCTCTCTCTCCCTCCCACTCTATCTGTAAAAAAAAGTGGAAAAATATCCTCGGGTGAGGATTAAAAAAAAAAAGAGCAGGTACCTTGGTTGCAGTTCAGTCCCTCGCCCTGGTTGGGGTCATATGGGAGGCAGCCAATTGATGTGTCTCGTTCACATGGATGTCTCTGTCTGTCTGCCTCTTTCTCTCTCTTTCCCACTCTATCTGGAGATAAATGGAAAAATATCCTTAGGTAAAGATTAAAAAAAAAAAAGAAATACCCAAGTAAGTTCACATAGAATTCAAGCTCCCTGAAATTCCTTAATGAGATAGAACTGTAAGGAGAGAGGTGTGTAGGCATAATCTTTAATGGAAGAAAGTTAATTTGTTTTATATATTCTTTTCTATAAATAGTTTGTTGATTTTTAGAGAGAAAGGACAGGAGAATAGAGAAACATCAAGGTGAGAACATAACATCAATGGGCTGCCTCCTGTATGCCCCTCACTGGGGGATGGAGCCAGCAACCCGGGCGCATGCTCTGACCGGGAATCAAACCAGCAACCTTTCAGTTCACAGGATGATGCTCAACCAACTGAGCTACACTGGCCAGAGATGTTTTATATATTCTTTTTTTTTAAATTAATTTTTGTTACAGAGGAGACCACAAGCAGGATGGTACCTTTGCCAAAACACAGCCAAGCCAGCCTGAGGAAGGCGATAGGCCCGAAGCATATTCAGTGTCTGTTCCTCACTCTTCAACCCCCAAACTTCAAGAACAGCAAAATTTTAAAATTGATATAAAGTTTTTTTTCTTATGAAAAAAACTTTAAGTAGCTTTTAGGAGAAGAGAGGGGGAAGTGATGTCACCAAATAGAAACTACAACCTAGATCCAGCCTGTACATTTTGTGCTCTCTGTTTAACTGCGTGGTCTTGGACAAGCCACCCTATCTCTAGTTTCCATTCCTTCTCTGTCTTGAAGGGTTACTGTGAGGAGCAAAACGAGATGATGAGTGTGAAAGGACCCCTAACATCCCTCTTCCCTTACCTGCAATGGACACATTCATCTAGTTGCTACAGATATTTACAAATTGGCTTCTGTCTTATCTAGGCTTTCTCTCCATCCTTCTATTTTTAAACCACTCCTTTCAGTAGCAGCTCTAATGTCTGGTCTTACTTGACTTTGTGCTTAGACTTACCTCTCTTTTGCCATGCTTTTGCATCTTTCAATAGCAGACATCACGTGGTCCACTACCAGGCCCAGACTCTGCACTCTCATAAGAGACTGTGTTTAGAGGCTGACCTTTGGCTCCACACACAAGTTTACTCTGCAGGCTCCAGCTCTGGGACAGTGCTCTGGTTGCCAACTAGTAACCGCTAACCCAGCCCAACACCATTGGCCAGGGAAGGGCTATGGAAAGTAAAATTCCTCTCTCTCTTTGTCTGTGGGGTTAAATGGAAGAATGCTGGCTTCCAAGAATCCAGTCTCAGTGCTGTGGCCTCCACAGTGAAGAGTGGTTTGAGCTAAATGTATGCTTGAAATAACACTGTACTCTTTTAATTCCAGCTGGCCAGAATCTCCCTTGCCTGCCGTAGTATGAACTAGTATAGGTCCCAGGACTCTCAGCAGCACAGGACACAATATTAGGAATATATTTCTTAATGGACTCAAATCCTAGGCCTGAGAACATGTGCACAAAGGCCCAAGTAGGAGTGGAGGGATGAGCTTCCAGGTGGATTCTTGCTCCTGAGAAGTAGTTTATGTAGTATAAATGGCACAGACCATCCTGAGGACAGAATTCCTGGGCCGCAGTGACACTGTCTGTGTCACACTGTCTGTGGCTCTTAAATTCCTACAGCATCAGGGAGGAAGGTAATGGGGGATGTTGAGCTCAGCAAGAATTTCCCTGCTGCCCTGGCCAGTTTGGCTCAGCAGTTAGAGCGTTGGCCTGCGGTCTGGAGAGATCTGGGTTCGGTTCCCGCTAAGGGTATGTACCTCGGTTGCAGTTTGTCCCCGGCCCTGGTTGGGTCGTGTGGGTGGCGACCACTCGATGTGTCCCTTTCACATCGATGTTTCTCTCTCTCCCTCTCTCTCTCTCTCCCTCCCACTCTATCTGAACAAAATATCGAAAAATGTCCTCGGGTGAGGATAAAAAAAAAAAAGAATTTCCTTGCTAAATATGTACTAAAATGCCCTACTATAAAATAAAGGGAGTTAAAACTACACTAAGAGGACCTAAAAAGCCCTCTTTCCTCTTCAGGCCCAGATTCAGCCTCCTCTTTACATTTCCTTCAGAAAAGTGCCAGGAACCTCTAGAATCAAATCACATCCCAGTTAACCATTAACTTGTGAGATATTGATCAAGTTACTTCACCCTCTTGACTTTAGCTTGCCCTTTTGTAAAATGAAGAGTTCTTGTTCAGTCCAAAAGTCTGTGATGAAACTCAGTTTTAACATTGCAGTAAGGATTAAATTATTCTCATCTTTCAAGTTGATGCTTTTATATTTGGAGTGAATGGAACTATTCTGCTGAAGAGAATTGAGTATCTCTGACTTTGGATGCTCTGCAAAAGCATTTTATGGGTCAATGACTCTCAACATTCCCCAGACCAATACATTAAGTAATGAAGCACATTCCCATTATTAACAGTGTCTCACATTAATATTGACCACATATGAGATGGGATGGCCAGGTATCAAATGCAGAGAAGGTACACTCCTCAGGTGATTCAAATATGTCCTTCTCACACTATGTTAGGAATTGCCATTATAGTTTGAATTCACCTACTGAAACATATAGGCTGGAAAAGTGTCAAAAGTAAGAAACATCCAAGGGGTCAGAGAGATCTTGATGGGCAGGACTGAAAATAAATCTACTCCATGCAGTTTGAGTGTGTTTTCTGAAATCAAGCCATTGCACAGCTTCTGGTAGAGCAAAAGACTGCAATAAAAATAACCAAAGAAAAAGAATGTGAATAAAAATGTCATTAAATTTAAACTTTTCCAGTTTCTAATAGTAATCACAAAGTTAATAATGCTTGATTTAGCCAATAAAATAATACAAGTGTGTGTTAAAAACACACACACACAACTTAGAAGCCTTCCTTTCCACTTTTCTTCAGTTTACCCCACCAAAGAAGGCACTCACGGTGTGAAATATACATGTTCACACCATTCTTTATGTTTGTACAAATGTACAGATTTATTTTGACAAAAATAGAGTAATACCCCAATATATTTACTTGAATTTTTTTTGTGTGTTTACAGATATCATGGCTTTCTTTTAAAGTTAATATATAATTATATAGAGATAGAGATACAGACCTAGAGATAGAGATGAAGAGAACAACGAGAAAAATAGGGAAAGATCATGAAATATATTTGGTAAACTATTCCCTACTTATTAAAAGTCAGGCTTTTTCAGCTTTTCTCTTGTCAGAAACAAATCTCTTAAAGAAATAATTATTTACATATATCCTATATCCTTAGATATCTTTAGTTTATTTTTACAGGTTACAGGCCCAAACATGGTAATGCTATTAGAGGGTGTGATGGTTTAATTTTAAATAATGCAAGAATGCTTTTTAAAAGGTTTATTCTGCTTTGTAGTCTCACCATTGATGCATGAGAGAAACCATTTTCCTACATTCCCCAGCAATGGATGTAATGATCTTTCTAATTTTTACTTACTTTAAAAGTGGAAATACCAACAGCGTTATTGCTTCCTTGTTATCTTTAATTAGTCATTTGCAATTAATTTTCTCTGAATTACCTGTTAGTGCCCATTTTTATATTAAGTAAGTTATTCTTTTACTTTTAATTTGTAAAAAGTATTATATTTTGACCATATTTCTAATTTTTTAAATTAAAAATATTTATTTTGATAACTGATTTTTTAAACTTTAACAATAAAGCTTTCCATATATCCACTTGTAATTTATAGTTGTGACCGTTTTCTTTAATTATATTGATGATCATTTTCATATGCAAGTGAGTATGCACATAAATTTGACTATTTACTATCTCACCACCCATAAGTATGAGAATCTTATTTCTGTCATGTGCTTGTACAAGTTTATAACGTAGTTTGAAATAAATTCAGTTTTTTTCTTTATGTACAAATGTAACATATTAAAAATAGCTTCAAAGTTCTAACATCACATTCAAGAAAAAAAATCAATAAATGTGTCATTCTCAGGTAGTTTATCTTCCCTCTATTTAATCAGAAGACTATTTTTAAAAGGTACTTTCCTTTTTCATTATTATTCTATTTCATTGCTCTATTTCAATTCCAGTTTCATCCCTTCCTCCTCTATTCTTCCTCTCTTCCTCCCTTCCTTCATCTCCTTTCCTCACTCGCTTCTTTCCTTTCTTCTTTTAACAGTGTTATTCTATTTTAATGGGCTATTTAAATTTCAGGTTTTTTTCCCTTTCTTCATTTTCTTCTGTCTTTCTTTACTTTATAGATCAGATAATAAACATCCCTTGAAAAGAAAAAGCAGGTAACAATATATATTATTTTATCCTCTTAGAAAAAAAAGTATTTAAAAGATAGATAAGTGACAAATACTTTAAAGTATCTTAAACACATTTGAGACACATAGATCAACTTGATGGGACATCATTTCATTGTTTTCAAAATGTACTAGTTAAAGCAGGAAGTATCATTTCTGAGGGGAAAAAGATTAATGAGAGCAACAGCAGTGATTAATTACATATGCCTGTGATAAAGTCTATTTGCAAAGAAGTCTAGATCCTATCAATCTAATGAAGAAACATTAAAAAAGAATTCAAGGACCTGCTTTAAAAACATGAATTTTTCAAAGTTATATTCCGCAGAATTTATTTCATTTTAGATTCTTATCATTTTTAGCTTAACAGAATTTAAATTATGAAATATTGAATACTCCTTCCTTTGATACATTTTGATGACCTTGATAGAGGAATGATATTTATTATTATATTATTCAAAAAAGGGGAGATTTTTCAGAGACTTTTATAAGTTCCTTGGTATTTATCATTATAACAGAGTGACCCTAAAAATGTCATTACCATGGAACAAGACACAATATGCTAGACAAAAAGAAATTAAATGATGGTGATGGAAGGAGACTAGACTTTGGGTGGTGAGCACACAATGCAATATACAGATGATATATTATAGAGTTGCACACTTGAAACTTATATAATCTTATTAACTAATGTTACACCAATAAATTTAATAAAAAAGAAAGAAGTTAAATGATATGTCGATTAAGGGTCAGGACCTGAATTTAGAGCAAAGTTGATCCTCCACTGGTTATCCTTCAAGGACAAACTATCAAATGGCATCTCTGTTCAGATGGTACATCGGTCAATTCTGCACTGACATATTTAACATCATCCAATACATTTAAAAGAATTTAGCATACCTGGTAAAATTTTGCAGACATCTAAACAAGGGTTGTGATCCTCTATTAACTATAATAATGCTTATCATTATTATTGATAATGATTAAGCATTTGCTATGTGCCTTGCGTATAATAAATAAATGAGATTTTCCAACCTTTCCCTATCAAGGTCACTGAAAATAATTCTGAAAGTTTATTTTATATGGAGGAGGCCCTAATGGAATTGACAGACCTTCACATTCCAATGTAACTCAGGTTCATAGGAGAACAGCACCTACATCTTTGGGTTGGTATAATGACAGAAAGCTGTAATTCCTGATTAACTGTGCTCCAGAAATGTGTGGTGACTGGTATCATACAGAGGTAATGGGTCCTCTGCATTTTGATAAGAAGTAATTCTCAGGAGTCTTCCTTAGTGCCATGAATGTTGCATACCTTGGGCATCAAGAAATAGAGAATAAAAAGGAAAAAAAGGAAAAGAGAAGGGTAAATAAGAAAGAAGAGATCCATTTCAATTTTTTTAAAATTGCAACTGCTATTCCACTTAGTATCATTACAAATATATTCCAAGCAATGGATACATACAAGTCTGAAATATTTAGGCTGGCTAGTAAAACCAATTGAAACATTGGGCTATAGCTTCGAGGATTTTCTGATCAATGTTAAAGGGTTAGCAGGCAAGATGATGGGGACTTTCTTGAAAACCCTGGAGGAAAACTTGAAGAATTAATTGAAATTCAAAAAGATATTTATTAATGAAGAGTTAGAGGATTGTATTGTATATATAACACTGATGAGATAGATAGATATGATAGATGATAGAGATAGATGGAAGATAGATGATAGATAGATAGATGATAGATAGATAGATAGATAGATAGATAGATAGATAGATAGATGACAGATGATAGATAGAATGTATGGGTAATTTAAAACTATACTCCTTTCTACCCTGGCATGCTATAGTAGGTGACAACATTGTATATTTCTTAAATTTAGCCCCTATTCACTGCCTATGAGGTTGATAAGTTGCAACTTTTGAGCATCATGAAGACAGATGACAGAGTTCTGTCATAGGTTATTTTGGAAAGAATATAACCTAAGAGGCAATGCCATAGACATAGAATTATCACACTGTTCTCTACAAGTTTTACTCAGGGCTCCTTCTATAATTCTAACATGTATTTGGATTTATCACAGTTCAAGGGCCCATTTTCAGACTCAAACTTTGTTCTTCCTATTGCACTCCATACTGGCTTTATCTTACTTGGAAGGAGAATTTTGGTTTTGATGAAATATTATTACTTACACAGTTGTAAGTTATATAAATAACACCTACAATCCCTATGCAAAATCTTTCCCATATTGTGACAAGCTTAATGGCAATAGTTATGTAGCTAAGCTAAGCCCAATTTTCTATACATATGGAAATATTTACTATATGATGAGATACACAGAAATCATTGCATAGTTGAAAATAAAACTTTTTTACTCTATTTTGTAATGCTTTTAGCCTACAAAAATGTTTCACTCAGCTTCCCTTACACTAACATATTATATAACCGTAGCACAATTATCAAAATCAGAAAACTACTAGTGGTGCAATACTCTTAACTAAACACAGACCTTATTCAAATTTCACCAATTTTTTACGAATGCCTTTTTTTTTTTTTCTGGTCCAGTATCCAATCCAGGATTCCACATTGTATTTACTTCGGTCTCATTAGTCTCCCCAGTTCTGAAAATTCCTCAGTTTTTCCTGTCTTTCATGACCTTGAGATTTTTGAAAAATATTGACCAGTTATTTTATTTAATTTGGATTTGTTTTCTCATGATTAAATTGAAGTCATGTATGTTGGCAATTGTGCCACAGAAACGATGCACCTTTCTCAGTGTGTCCTATCAGGAAACGCACCATGTTGAGGTGTCATATTATTGGTGATGTTAACCGCTGTTGTTTGGTTAAGATCATTTCTACCACATGTCTCCACTGTGAAGTTACATTATAATGATGTTATAAGTACTATCATTTCTATTTTTTGTATCTCAAATTGTTCCATATTTGGCAATTCGAAGTTTCTTTCAATATGCCAATTTATATTTTTCAATACTTTCTTATTCTTAGGCACCACAGATATTCTAAACTTTGCATAAGTTTCCCCTTATTCCTGAAATCAACCATTTCTCTAAGGAGCCATGTTTTCCATTATTGGAGAATGAACTTTAAAAAATATAATCTCATCACTAGGTGTGCTCCTTACTGCAGAGGTTTCATTGCTTCTAGGTACTCCCCACAGGAAGTTTGGAAATATATGTATATATGTTATCCCATGCGCATCTACACATCTACATTTAATTTTCTACTAATGTAACTAAGAACCTATTTATTAATCTATCTATCTGTCTGTGTGTCTATTCATCCTATGAGTTGACACTCTACCTAATTTTCAAATCCAGCAGAGATCTTTCAAGCCTCTCACTTTTCTTTATTTTTATCATCTTTCTCCACCAGTGAGATAGCTGGTTCTTGTTAACCTACAATAAATTTGCTTATTTGTTCAATCCTAGTATACACAAAGTGTTTTCAGAACTGATAACTCATAATTTTGCCAAGAAAAATTTAGTAACTAGAGTATAATACTGAAGTAGTTACTTCTTTAGACTTATAGGATGGAGTTCAAATACCGTTTTGTAAAGCATTTTAGGTTAGTTCATTTCTTTGAAACTCTGTTTGATGTGGTTACATGTGACAGAAGACCTAAAATAAAGCCCAATATTATGGGCTGCCTTGATATCTGATGAAATTAGAAGGCACAAATAGTCTAACCTAAGTGCCCAGACACCCTCTTTATCAAAGGAGCAGGTGCAGTTCCTGCTTGTCCCTGAGAAGTGGGGTTCGGTTCTTTGTCAGACTCCAGAATTATTCAAACGAGTCCATTGCATCCTCCTGTGGGAAGCACAGGGTTCTCCATGGATTTGTTCATTTTACTTTTTCTAATTTGAATGGTATTGGATTGTGTTTTTAGTTTACATTTTTTGTTTTAGTAAAGTCCAGATATTTTTGCAGGTTTTTATGTGTGTTTGGTAGTGGGCAAAGGATTGGTGGCCCCTTTTTTCTCTCAGGACCCTGCATTTCCTCCTTTTGTACCATTTTCTTTCCCTTCCCAATCACTAAAGAGTGCTTCTCTCTTCCTTTTTGGCTTCCTTTTTTCTCCGCCTAAAACTATAGCTTTTAAAGATACCCGATTCCTGAATCTTTTGTGGTCCTTTTCTTGTTGTCCATGATCTTAACTGTCCAGAAGTTTTTTCAGTATTTTAAGATTTAGGGCAGGCTGGTCTTTCACACAATAATTTCAGATCAACATTAGGTCCCTTTTCTGATTTTCTTTTCCTGTCCTCCCTGCAGTTGTCCTGGTCTGCCTTTGCTCACCAAGAAGCCTAGGGCAGGGCAGGGGTGGGTCAGCTGTGTGGGAGACCACGCACTAGGATTTGGTAAGGTGTGCTTTTTTCTTTTTATTCAGTTATTTGAAATTTCAGCGTTACTTGTCTTCAAGTTATTCTGAGGAGATGGTTTCTATGTCGTTTTATTCTTTCCTTTTGGTATTTTTTTGTATTGTCATTGAGAGACAGATAGCAAGGCGCCTGCTGTTGGCTTTAATCCTCAATTATGTTCAACATAATATCTAAAGTTATGTGATTCTTTATAATTACTGTTTCCTGTGCTGATAATTTAATATTACCATCTCTGCCTAACTCATTTAGGTTGGGGGAAAATTTCTGTTAGTAAAGATTTTCCAGAGAAGTTGATTTAAAAATTGCTTAGTGTAGATATGCCCAGGGAAAAATAAAAGTGGTGCTATCCTGGACAGTTAATCTAGCCAGTAATCTCTGCAAAACTTAAATATTAATTCTGCTTGATACTATTTCCAGAAAGAAAAAGGCTAAATAAGGACTAACTAAAAAGAATGTCTTCTTATGCATCCATGACTTCTACTTGGGTGCTTCCTAGTTTTCTGTTTCACAGAGCACACAGAAATGAATATTTGAAGTAAGGATCGTGACAGTCATTGATTTACAGCACAAGATGACTTGTGAACCCATGTGAGCTGGCAGTAGAATTGTTTCAGGGCAATAACTTTTTGTTTCCAGGAATCCAAGAGTCTGGTGATTTTGACAGATTTCTCATTTTAGTTATATTCTGGTGCCCTGTTTTCCATGGTGCTAGTCAATAGTTGCATTTCCTTAGATTCAGATTCATCAGTAAAAGGGGCTGATAAGTCTTTGTTTCTCTTTGACCTTTTGCTCTGGAAGGCTGCTCTAACATTGACGTGCCAAGCAGCAATGCATGCATCGGTTAACAGTGATACAGATTTTATAATATGTGTTTTAGCTTTAATTTATCAATCTCACTGGAAATATAATTCAGTTTGTATTCCCTCCCGAAAGTGATTTTAAAAATGATTTAAGTGCTTCACACATTTGTACATCTGACATCATAAAAGTATGGAACAATTTACAGATGTATGAAGTGTAACACAGAAAGCCTAAAATGCTGTTAAAAATCTGATTGAAAGGGAGCAGAGATGAGAGAGATTTATCAACATTGAAAATTGAAGGGAGAAGCCAAGGACCACAAACTATCCAAATTATGTGAGTCACTAGCTTCTACCCATGAATAGCTAATGGTAAAATTTGAAGATGACGACTGGAAACATTTGAATATATTGTCTTTCTGTCACTAACCAAAACTGGAGTTGTTAGAGTACATCTTGATTATTTTATCAAAAATATGTCTAATTTCTGGATTCCAGCTAAATTAATGACACATTTGGAGAAATGTTTCCACAATATTTTAGGCACTACAACTGTTCCTGTGTACCACATGTCAAGACACTAACAGGAAACTTAGAAACAGTTTAGTCAAAAACTCAGCCATTTATCACTGTATTATGAGCTAAAGCAAAAGGAAAAGATTTTCTTAACTGATATAAAGAGAAGTTCATAATTTAAGCACAGGAAGCAACTAAACTCTATAACTGATAGGCCAGTGTATCCAAATGACCAATGTACCTATAACTTGATACTCTAAAACTCATAAAAATGACATAACAAACAACTTGTCATCTTAAGAATATTTATGAGGTAGTTGGATTCTGGAGCAATTGCAGAAAGTTATAGTACATCTCAGGAAATGTCTTTTCTGTTAGCATACTAAACTTTGGAGGCCAGATCGACATTGCTGAGATCAGAGAACACTAAAACGGACAGTTATGTACACCTTCAAATAAAATCCAGTAACAAAAATTCTCAGGTAATACGAAGCATCATTCTGAATTGTTTTCCACTTTCACTTGATATTTTAATATATTGTTTAGATCTGTTTTGTTTATTTTCTCCTGGAACCAGTTCATTTGAAGCTA